CGGTCCTCTCAGAGAGTGAGCAGTGCCACCTCCTGCCACACGCCTGGCATTTGGCATCTGGCTGGACTTCACCCACAGGGAGAGCCTGTGCTGGGCCATCAGCCACCCCTGAGCACCTGGCTGGACTTAAACCCAGGCTGCCTGGGCTCCTGGTGCCCGTTCTACGCCCCCCCGGCCTCTTCCAGTGCAGAGATGTTGTTCGCGTTTCTGTCTCAGCATCGGGTTGTGATACCTGACAGCCCGAAGTGGGGTGCGTCTTGGGCTCAGAGGAGCTGAGCTGTTGGTGCTGCGGGTGTGTGCACCTGGCCTGGCCCCTTCCTGACAACTGGGGGCAATGCCCCTGCATCCTGGGAGGGACAGACCTGACCAGACCCTGCTGCCTGCCTGCCTCTCCGGGCCCCGAGCAGGGGCTACACTCACCAGTGGAAGCCTCACTAACGTCCTCAGGGTCTCAGGGACATGGCCTGTGAACTGTCCCCAGCTCAGTGCTGGCCCCGTGGTAACTGATGGGGGTTGGGGCAATCAGCAGGCTTCCCCTCGATGGATCGGGAGGGCAAGGGGGAAGGTGACCCCGTCTGCAGAGTACGCGTCCTGATATTTAATGCTGGGCCAAGCACAGAGTCGGGGTGCGGGGCGGGTGCCGGGGCCCCTCTGGCTCGCTCTGGCTCAGCAGGAAGGACTGGCTTCATGTGAGGAGCTGGGAAAAGCAGGTCTGGGCTTTTCCTCCTGGTCTGCTGTGAGGATGAAGGGCCTCCCGGGAAGATTGATGCTTTTGTTTTCGCCTCTGCCGGAGCCGGGCTGGCGGAGTCGGCGGGCTCTGCAAAGCTCTGAGCATCCTCCCGGAGAGGCAGCGAGGGCGGAGACGAGCCCGGCTCTGCAGAAGGGGAGCAGACGCCACCGTGGCACCACCTGAGCCTGGCCCGGAGCCTGCCGGTGCCTGGCGGGGTGGCCAGTGGGCTCTTGGGGGCGGCAGGTGGCGGGATCTGAAAGAGAAGGCAAAGGATCCAGACCCCAGGCTGCAGGGTGAGGGCGGCCACCCTCACGGCCACACTGCCTGCCCAGCCAGCTTGTCCCAGGAGCGAGCCCTGGCGAGGGGCCGTTGGGCCGGCGATCCGACTGGGCTTTGGTGCCAGGACCCCGTGCAGGTAGGAAGCCTGGCCAGTCGCTCCCGAGGGCTGGTGGGGGGGCCCTAGGCCCCATGCTGGGCTGCAGGTGGGTGGGCTTCAGGAGCAGGGACAGATCAGCCAGGTATGAGACCCCCCACAGGGACCCATTGCCCCCCCATCTCCCATTTTTGCCCCCAAGATGCTTGTTGTCACCCAGAGCTTTCCTGTCTGTGGAGCCAGAGTGGGAGAGCAGCCCAGGCCCATCCTTGCTGCCAGCAGGAGCCCTCAGTCTGTGTCCGTCTGGTCTGTGTGGGGTGGGCACCGAGCCATCCTGAGGCTGGGCCCCCACGGCGCCTGCCCGCCAGTGAAATGCACATCAGGGGCGGCTGTGGGGCTCTTCCCCCCCCCCAGCCTCTCGGGGACAGGTGGCACCCTGTGCTGTGTGGGATCTGTCTCGATGAGCCCGATCCCTGCTGGGAGCAGGGGGAGGCGCCTTGTGGGTCCTTCAGGTACCCAGGAGGGGCTGACGGCTGGGGCCGGTGAGCGGGGGGGGACCTGGGGCAGCCCTGGGACCGTGCTGCCGGCTCCTGGGATGGAGCCCTCCGTCCCACGGAGAGAGCGGGGAGGTGCCGGGTGAACCCCGGGGCCAGCAGTGCAGCCCGACCAGACCGGCGAGACCAGCACCGGATGGGGGAGGTGCTGAGCGAGGGGGCGTCCTTGGCCCAGACCCTGCTGTCACTCCTTCTGGATTTTGTTCTCGGTGGTATTAGCTGCAAGGCTCCCCCGCGGGGGAGGGGGCGGCCCGAGGATGGGGTGCTGCGCAGGAGGTGCCGCGGTCTGAGCCCACCTGCCTCCTGCAGCCTGCCTGTCCCCACGGTAACCAGAAGTCAGGGTCTCTCTGGGACCACTAATGCCTCCCTCCCTGCCTCTCCCTCCCTCAGTCCACCGCTCACCTTACAGATCCTTCCTGGACACTCAGTGTCCCTCCCTGGGCTGGGGGCTGCCTTCCTGGGGAAGGTGTGACAGGGTCCCCTGCCTGCCCTGCAGGAGACCCGGTGGGAGAGGGGACGGCCCAGCCTCTCCCACCCTGGGTCAGGCTCCAGCTAAATGTTTCTCTGTGTCCAGGGAACCATCTCCTGAGACTCGGGGTCATTGGCTCACTTGCTTCCTTCCTTTGACTTTCCCTGCACCCTCCCCAGGCCTGACTTTTGTCACCGGAAGAAAATAAACCATGTGTTCCCGTGACAACAATGTTGAGTGTGTTCGATGCGCTTCTTGGCCGTTTGGATGTCTCCTTTGGGAAGGTCTGTTTAAGTCCTTCTAACTGGACTCTGTCTTTTTGTTCTTGGGCTGTAAGGGTTCTTTATCTATTCTGGATACTAAGCCCTTTGAGATCTGTGGTCTGCAAATATTTTCTCTATTTATAAGCCGTCTTTTGTGGCACAGAAGTTTTTCACTTAGAAAGTTCAATGTCCCTGTTTCGTTGTGGCCGCTCATGCTTTTGGCGCCTGTCCGAGTCCATTGCCCAGTCTGGGGTGAGGAAGATGCACTCGGTGCTCCCCTCTAAGGGTTTTACACGTTCAGCTCTTCCGTTAGGTCGCTGGCCCATGGTGTGGGGAAACTTCCTGGGCGCGTTTCGCCCACAGAGGAGCGCAGGAACCGCGCCCGCGCAGCTCGGTGCCTTTTCTCAAACTGGACCCCATGGAGCTGGCACTCAGATCAAGGGAGAACTTGCCCAGACCCCCAGACGCCCCGGGGAGCCAGCTCTTCGGTGCCTGGGTTCTGTCCCCCGCTGGCTGTACCCCGTCACTGCTTATTCAGGAGTGTGATTCTTGCGCAAACCCGGGACGCGGTTGTTAGACTTCTCTCCACTTTAGAAGGAGTGAACCGTGGGGATCAGCATCCACATTCAGCCGCAGGCTGCAGCCCCCCCACACCCCGCAACTGTAGGGTTAAGAAATGGTCACTGTAAAGTAATGCTGAACACAATATTTTGGAGTGATTTTGGTGGGTTTTTGTGTTTTTGTTTTTGGCACCATGTGGAACTAAGCCAAACCAGCAAATGGAATTTGTTTAGGTTATTTTAGTGTTAAAATTTTAACCTAACAATGGGCTTTAAGAATTATAAACGTCAGAGATGCTAAGTGAGAAAACCGAGCAATGCAAAGATACATAGGAAAACTACTAATCGTTTCTCACCCCTCCTCGCCAGTCCCCCCACCCAAGAGGCGATGCTGGCCTTGCCCCCTCCCGCTTCTCCTCCTCTTGTGCCCCCGGGACACACGAGCGGAGGGACCGGCCCCTCTGCCTCCTGGGGGAGGCTGGCCTGCCAGCCCCTGAGCCGGGGAGCTGCTG